AACCGTGCGCCTCTGGGATTGTAGTTGCAGGTCCTTGCCACTAGGCCACCAGAGCTCCCCTCAAGCTTAGCTTTTGACAAGAACATTTTTCTAATTGAAAGATGCCAATGAAAGAGAATGTTTATTAAGTATTGTTGCTGTTAGGTGCCATCAAGTTGACTACAACTCATAATAACCCTATGATCAACAGATATGAACCTCATGCTAGCCTGCGTCCTCCTCACCTTCTCTGACATGGTCAAGCCCACTGTTACAGTCACTGTGTGAACATCCTAGCCTAAGTCCTCCTCACCTCTGATAGGCTCGAGCCCACTGTTATAGTCACTGTGTTATTCTATCTTGATAAGTATGATGTCGCTGTTAGGTGCCATCAAGTCAACGACAACTCACAGTGGCCCTAAGAACATGAAATCCAAAATTTGCCTATCCTGTGCCATACTCACAATATCTAATATGATTGAGCTCATTGTTACAGTCATGTTTAATATATAGAAAAACCTGTAAAAGTTGGAATCTATGTAAGGCTGAAACACATACCAGAAGGAAAATGCAAATGGTTTCCACTAAAATGTGTCATGGGAGAGTAGTAAAGGCAGAAAAGGCAGAAAAACTGTGAGACTTCTCCCTGTATTCACAAAACATTAAGCAGCTGACTGTATTCACAAAAGCTTAATTGCTCTTTTATTTATTTTAACTTACTTTCTAAGAAGCTAATTTATTTCACCTCTGAAATAAATATATTTTCCATTTTTAAATAAAAACATATCCTATGATATTTATTTCACCTCTGAAATATCGTATTTTCACCACAGAAGTTATTCTGCCAAAGATCTATCTGGAGGCACTAGAAACTCTTAAACAGAGTTTTGTTTGGCTTACTCAAGAAATAAAAATGAATAAGTAATTACCTTCTGAAAGCTCCTCTTGATATTTGGGTAAGTGAAGAAACAGACATAAAAATTAAGTTTTTGAGGAATTGTTAGTCATCAAATAAAGAAAAATGACCATAGTGACGTATTCATGTCACCATTAGCAAGTCCTAACTGGGACTAGGCCTGGGAAAACAATGGACAACATGTACCTACAGGGACTAGAAAATCCCAATTGGCTCTGATTCTGTTATTTGGGGGGAAATAAATTTTTTACAGATTGCTTGCCAATTTGTAGAGGAACAAAATAACATTACAAGAACCCCACAATGATTATTGTATGCCAAAGTGCCACGGTCCTCAGTACAACGCAACTGTGTTAGAAATCCTCACCTCTGGGAATGAATTACTGGTTCTGGGGCTTTGGGATCATGGTTTTAGAAGACATCAAAGTCACTATGGCACAACATTCAATGTTCTACATCCTACTTTGATGAGTAGCAACCTGGGTCTTAAAAGCCTTCAAATAGCCACTTATGGTGCAATTATTGGTCTTTCCCTGTCTGGAACAACAACAACAAGAAGAAGCCAAAACAAAGGATACATTTGTACGAATGGACAACCTTGGGACCAGAAGAATTACTGTAGATGGTGTCCAGATATCACAGCTGACCACCATCAGGGATTACAGCATATTTAGATAGAGAAAATGTGCAGCACAACTCCAAAACATAAAAAAGGCCAGACTTACCTGTCTGATAAACTGAGTGGACTCTCAAGACTATGGTCCTTATTCACACTCCTAACACAGAACAAAATCTATCTGTATCTCAATCTTTAGCCACACACTAAGCAGACCCATAAGGTGAGGCATACAGCAGGGAGGAACTCATTCATTAGAATGCCAGCTGTATACAGCCAGAAGAGAAGCACTTCAGGTGGTGCCCATGGCATGTGCCCTCTGTGCCATGCATTCAGTAGGCTTCTCGCTGGGTGCTACTTATTCCTCAACTAAACTCCAAAGAGAATTTGGTTCAGAGATATGTAAATTCTCACTGTCAATTAAGAGGTGCTCAGAACTGATGCTTTAGGGGAAGCGAAGGAACAGCTGTGTGTATTCCCCTTCCCAAAAGGACTGTTCTTAGCACCCATTCAGTTTCTGCTCTAAGAACAAACAAAGTTTTGTCATAGGCCTAGTGGCAAGAAGCTGCCCTGCAATCCTGAAGGCACACAATGTGAATCTACCAGCTGCTCTGGAGAGAAGTATGGACAATCTCCTCCCTCGCGATTAGCTACCTCTGTAAACGTGCCGGAGGGTCAGCTATGGGTTGGTTCAGACTTGATGATACACAACAATAGCAACATAGGCTAAGACCTATGCACCAGTGTCTGATTACCCAATGGGCCAGGTAAACAAAGGATTTACTTGTTTTTATTTACTAATCTGTACTCAATCATCTCCCATTTTTCACCACAAGTTTCTGCTTCTAGTAATGGCTGGCACCTATCTGTGCCCTAAGCCCACAGCACCTACAGGGTCAAAGCCTCTTTTTGAATTTAGAAACCCTAGCAGCAGCAGAGTACCCAGTATCTGTGGTTAAACCTTTATAAAAGCGTTCATAACAGATTAGTAAATCAGCACATTTGTATTCTTACCTTGCTTTATGGACAGTCCACCTCTGATGGTATTTACTGTGAGAAAGGCACCTTTCTAAGTATTTACACTACAAAACATTATTGTTCCTATTTTAGAATGGGAAAACTGACAGGTTATGTTACTTGCCAGAGGACCCACAGATAACAAGTCTATATTCCTAACTATTCTAGGTCTCTTTCTACTCAAAACCAACATCAAGTCTACTTTTGTCAAATTAATTCCGATTCATGGTGACCCCGTGTCAGGTTTCTAAGGCTGTAAATATTTACTAGAGAAGATTGTCTATTTTCCTCCCTGGCCGCAGTGAGTGGATTGGATTCACAGACCTCTTGCCTAGCAGCTCAGCTCTTAGCCTGCTGTCACCTGCTAGTGCTCCTGAGCCCTAACAGCAGCGCCAGCAGATGAGGTGATTGCCGGCAAAGTGATGAGCTGAACAGAGCAAGGAGGGATGACTATAAACCGGAGGAGCTAAAACCCAAACCAGTCAGACACACTGATGTAGATAACTGACTAGAGAACCCCAAATACTTAACAGAAACTTTAGAACCACACGAACGGTTAGTAAATAATGCAGATGAGCAGTTCCCAAGTCTGTAACTCTCAGTGCCATCTTTTTTTATAACTAGTATTTGTAGCAATCTTTTTCTCTTGTGAGAGTCTGTTCCTAGATAGGATAGCCTACCACACGCAAAGTTTTTAAAATATTAAATATAAAACTTAGACACAAAGCTATTTTTTAAAAATGAAATTCAGTGCTTCTACTGTATGTACTACAAAGAGAAAGTATGAGGGAAATAAAAAGATAATGAAATAATAGAAATACTTTAGCATGATTTTAATGTATGTTGTGGCTGTTAAGTACCGTTGAGTGGGAATCTACCCATGACTGACGCTCTGGCGGGTGTCTGGAGGCAGTCAATAGCATGAGAGGAGATCGTCCAGCTTTCTCCCATGGAGTAGCTGGTGGATTCAAACTGCATGACTTTGGGTTGGCAGTGCAACTCCTTACCACAAAGCTGCTTTTTATTCATGATTTTACTATAAGACATAAGAAATTATTAGATGCCTACTTTTACTTATATAGAGCTCTGGTGATGCAATGTTTAAAGTGTTCATTACTAATCAAAAGTTTCAAGGTTGGCACCTTCCTGCTGCTCATGGAGAGAAAAATGAGGTAGTCTGCTTCCACAAATGTCTGCAGCCTTGCAAGTCCTGTGGAAGCAGTTCTGTTATTACAGGATTGTTAGGAATCAGAATCGACTCAGTACCAGTGGGTCTGGTTTCGTTTACAACTATTATAGTAAAGAGAGAGCTCTGGTGGCCTAGTGGCTAGAAGCTATGCGCTTGGATCCAAAGAAAGCAGGAAGAGCAGAAAATATTCCTTATATAAGGTACAGGAAAATGGAAAAACAAAGGAACAGGCCAATCCTGGGATAAAAAGTGTTCTGGTAAGTTAGTTAAGACCAGATTTATTTATATATATGAGAAAGAGGGGAAATTGCCTTAACTGAGGTAGGAATAGTGTACCAAAATAATTATATTCCAATATGATGGAGAAATTTAGGAAATAAAATTCTTGAAAGTGGGTGGGTTTTGTTAACACGTCCTAACAAGCTTCGTCTTTCATACTTTGGACCTGCAGCTAGGCAAGGCTATTCCTTGGAAAGGGACATCATGCTTGAAAAGATGGAGGGTCAGCAAATGAGAGGAAGACCCCAACAAGATGAAGTGACACTGTGACTTTAGCAATGGGCTCTGGTGTTTCAGAGACATTGAGGATGTCACAGGATAGGGCAGGTTTCGGGTTGCCTGTTCCTAAGGTCACTATGAGGCACACTGGACTCAACAGCACCTAAAGCACAACAACAATCAAGGTAGCAAATTTTAAAAAAATACTTTGTGGGACCCATAAATTATCAGTTATGTTCACACTACTTTGAAGACACTTTATGATGCTGTTTGTCATTAACTATAGCAAATAATGTGTTAAAGGAATAGGAAATACTTAATTCAGTTAAAAGATCTCTCTCTCCAGTTTACCTACTATCAGTGTGAAGTAGACATGAAAGCATAGAAAAGATAAGATTCAGTCATCTCAAATTGTCTTCTAACTCACCAGGCTTTTCATATTTTTTGTGGACATCAACACACCAATGCTGTCATTTATACATGTCATTCATATTTGTAATGGGCTCTGTCTAGCAGGGCATTCAGAAGATACATGGCACTAGGGACAACTCCTCATTGATCAGGACTGAGAACACGGCAGGATGTCTTCAATTCCTCTCAACTAAAGACCAGTTTAAAAAAACCCAAAAACTCGGTTGCATTTTGGAATGTACTTGGGGTGGTGGGAGGGGTGCGGGGGGGATTGTGTACCAAGGAGGGAGTCTTTCTTTTGCTTTTGAAAGAGAGGAGCGAACTGGGGGGCAGGGGGAGAGAGCTGGGCGGGTAGAAAAGTGCAGCAATGAATGAATGGAAATCCAAATTCTCTGTAAATGTTCATTAAAATTATTTTTTAAAAAAGCTAAAAAAAAAAAAACAAACCAAAACTCTCATAAAGCTCCAAAATTCCCCCTAAAGTACAGAATTGCCCTTACTAAGAACCACTAGTCTAGATGCACTTTACAGCACTCACTACCAACATTGTTTGTTCATTGAATTAATTCTTGTACCACAGCCTTCAGAACGTGTTTAGGCCTTCCCTCTACATCTCCTTTCAGGGAGGGAGGTCCGACCCTTTAGGGATGTAACTTTCTAATAAATCTACCACCATTATTTTATCCTAAAGAAAATTTTAAAAGACTGTTTAAATTACATCAAATTTGGTATATACATTTAAAAAGTCAATACTAAATGTTCTTCCCCTCTCCCCACTTACCTGATTCAAATGTTTCTTCATCTTTTATTTTCCAGGAGGCAAAAATCAAATGTAAAGTAAGATTATATTCACACAGAGTCTATATTTCAAGTCTCACTCTCTGGCCCTGCTGTTCTTCACTCACACCCTTGTTGCTGATTCCCCCCACCCCTCACCCCCCAATCAGGCCCCATCAGTAGTGTCTCTACGGACTTAAATGAGGGAAGTGATGTTAAGCAGGTGGGCCATGATAACAAACAGAAGTGCAAGCAGGAGCTTTACATAAATACATTAAATCAAAAGTGGAGTCAGAGGGACAGGGAAAGTGGAGTATTGTGAGGGACTTTGATAGGTAGGTAGATATCACATAACTTTTAGAACCTTGGCAGATGTAACTGGAGCTCACAACAAGGTGGCTTAGCAAAGGCAATGAGTGGATGAATGGCTGGATTGAAAGGATACAGCCTTGATGCACACCTTTCCTGATTCTAAACCACGCAGTGTTCCTATGTTATGGTTCACACAAGAGCTTCTTGGTCTAGGTGTAGGTTTCACATGAATAAAATTAAGTTCTTGGGATTTCCATTTTTCTCAATGTTACCCATAATTTGTTATCACCCATGCAAATGGCTTTGCATGGTCAAGAAAACATCTTTCTGGTATTCTCTGCTTTCAGTAATTATATTCCTCATGTCATGGTCTCCTCTGAATCCAGCCTGAATTTCTGATAGTCTTCTGTTGATGTATTGTTGCAGCCATTTTTAAATAATTTCCAGGAAGATCTTATTTGGCTGTAATATTAATGATACTGTTCAGTATCTTCAGTCTGTTAGACCATCCATCTTTTTAATTTTTTTTTAGAATGAAAGCAAATATGAATATTTTCTAGTTAGTTGGTCAGATAGCTGTTTGCCAGATTTCTTGGCTTAACTAGGGGATACGTCCAGGGCTGCAGCTGTTTACGGAAAGCCACCCCTCAAGTACACTTCACCAGTTCCTGAGCCTTTCTTTTTGCCAATGCCTTCAATGCAGTTGGAACTTTTTCCTTCATTGTCACCGGCTCTTGATCATATGCTACTTCTTGAAATGGTTCAGTGTCCACCAATTCTTTTTGGCACAGTGATTCTGTATTCCTTTTCATTTTCTTATGATGTTTCCTGCATCATTTAATATTTTGTCCCTGGCATCTCTCAGAACTGCAGCTCAAGACTTGGATTTGTTGAACTGAATTTAAAAACATCTCAAGAATGGAGTCTGGCATTGAATACTAATGATGGAAGAGCAGATGAGTTTGGTAATGACTGTCTCTTTGTGCTAGCTATCTTCTTTAACTAGGTACTCTGTGTGCCCTCACCTCTGGACTGGCAAAGACATCCTCTCTAATCAGGAAGACTAGCCTAGGCTCCTCTGACACCAGCTGACTAGATAGATGGCAGTTCAGAATCCACAAAACAAAGAAAACAGATATGGATAATAATTCTTCAACTTGTGGTTTAAAATTAAAAGCCAAGGAAGTACTTCAAAACTGGCTGAACGGAAACCATCCTTGGTGTATATAAAGGAATTTTTAAAACCTCTGTTATATATTTCTCAAATTTTGGGAACCCACTATTATTTAGCTATACTAGAATCTACCAGAAGATGGCATCAGACTTAATAACAAAAGACATTCTCTCTTCTGAATTTCAATGTTGGCATTTTATGGTTCTGCACAAAGAGCAAAAAATACACTCTGGTGGCACAGTGTGTTACTTGCTGTGCTGTTAACTAAAAGGTCAGTGATTTGAATCCACCAACTGCTCTTCAGAAGAAAGAGGGCCAGTCTCCTCCTGTTAAGATTTATATAAAGTCTCAGAAATCTGACGGAAGGTCTTTATAAGAAAGGATCAACTTGATGGCAGTGGGTTCCACAAAGGACAGTGGTTTGCAGGTACTCCATCTGACGAAGGCATCCCTAAAATAACTTCCAAGAAATCACTGTCAAATATGTTGGACGGGTGGGGGATGACTTCATCCTCTAAGTGCCAGGCCATAGAAAAAGTATGGGGGAAGGATCATTTTATACATTGCTTTTGATAACTTATAGGTGAGGTGTTTCATGTTTCTTCAGGTAGCAAATATTATAGAAGGAAATGTTACCTGCTTCCACACATTTCTCATCAATCTTCATGTCATCTTCTAGAAAAGAGAAAAAAAAAATAGAACATTATATGTGTCTATCTCCTTATAAGAATGATAGTTACAACTTTTGTTCACTTGGCAGGATACACAGAACTCTACTGTATTCAAACTGTCAGCTATTTCATCTTACTTAGATCCACAAGCAACACTTTTAGTACCAGAAATCAAGAAATCAAAAGACATTTTGGGAAAGTTTGCTGTCAGGGCCTTCTGCAGAGTACTGAGGAGTAATGCTGTCAGTTTAAAGACCACTCAACCACTTGCTATGCATCTGAGAACTGGACAATGACTAATGATGATAGAAGCAGCAGCAATGCCTTTGAGTTGTGTTGGAGAAGAGTACTGAATATTCCATGACTACCAAAAGAATAGATATATCTTAAAGAAAGTGTAGCCAGAGTGCTCCTTAGAGGCAACGATGGCAGCTTCATTTTACATTTGGGCATGACGTTAGGAAGGACCATTCCTTGGAAAGGGACATTATGCCTGGGAAGGTGACGGGCTAGTGAAAGAAAGGAAGGACCCTCAATGAGATGGGCTGGCATAGTGACTGCAGCAATGGGCTCAAGTGTGTCAGAGGTGATGAGGATGGAACAGGATAGGACAGGGCTTTGAGTCAATGTTCATAGGTTCATGATAAGTTGTTCAACAGAACCTATCAACAGCAACCACTGTATTCAAAGAAAATTAATAATATGAAAGCCTATACAAATGACAGACATGATATGAAAGGCTACACAAAATAAAAATGGGTATGAGGAATGAAAAACCAATTTCTTTGTAAATTTTCATTAAAGTAACAATAAAAAAGAAAGGTTATAGGAAAGATAGTGGTTCCAATTTAAAAAGCCTAGCCTGTTGAGTGCTGAGCAGCTGACTTCTCTCAGCTTCTGTCAAATAGGAACTGTAATACTATCTACCGCTCAGAAAAGGAGTAATTCACACGATGCATGAAAAGCCCAGCACATAGGAAAATTCACTGCTGCTGAGGTAATTCAGACTCTACTCTAGGTTTCTGAGGTTGTAAATCTTAATGGGAGCAGTCTCAACAGTTCCCCATGGAGCAGATGGTGGATTCAAACCACCAACCTTTCAGTTAGCAGTCCAACATGTAAGGTACTATATCACCAAGACCTCCAAAATGCTCAATAGTTATCAGCTGTATTTATCTTCAGCTGAGGCACAATGTAACTTTAAAATCCATTCATCTTAACACTCCAACTACTCTCGATGTCAGTTGCTAAGACTCTTGTCCACCTTTCTCCTTCACTTAGCTTACATTCCCGCCAGAGTAGACACTGGTTCCTCCCCACCTCTGTGCCTTTTCTTAGGCGGTTCCCTTTGCCTGTAATGCTATAAGGTCCATCTCAAGCATGGATCAAAGTTAGCTAGACGGAAGCTTGAATCCAGACTGCACTGCTTGCAGCTTCTGATTACTTTCGTACCTTCCCTGAACTCAGCTCTTCACCCATAAGATGGGAATAACAATATTCTATTTATTTGTTTATCTACAGCTCTTAACAATAATTTTCTTAAAAGGTTATTTTTTAAGATGGTTGAAAAGAAAATACACATCTAATCAGATTCACGGTTTCTATTATATTTTTACTATAGTGCTGGGATAGGCATTGGGCTTTCACATAAAAATTGCTTTCTTTTGCTTTTATCCTGAGTGTTGAGAGAATTATACTTTACTAGGTATGTGTTCTTCAGATAAATATCTTTTTCCAAGTTTGGGCCTTAATGACAACATTACTAGATTGTGTTACATACAAAGAGCTCCTAATAGACAAATTAAACTGGAGTGCAATTAAGACAATGATGGGAAATTTCAAGGAGACCGGGATATGAGGGTGGATTTTTGCCCCATTATTTCTTACCGTCTTCCATAGAATTCACTGGGTACACAAACACCATTGAAGCAGGAAAAAATAAAATCAAATGAATAAACAAACAAAAGCAATGGAATACAATAGTTTATGCTATAACATTGTCAGATCAATTTACTTATAAGAATAGCAAAAAAATGCCAGAATTATTGCAATTAAAGTTGTAAAATTTAATTCTAAGATATTTAGCAAATATTTAGTACCAGAGTGATAAATATCCTATACTGATGAATACATTTGTGAGCCTTGTTACAAACTGGGATCTGTTTGCTTCTGGTAAACCCACTCCTTTCCACCCAAATAGCTCTACAAGGACTGGGTTCTACATATTCGCAAACGAAGTGCTTAGTTCCAAACATTTTAGGAATTCAGTGAGGAAGAAAATAAAGGAGAGATGGAAAGGTGTGATAGGGAAGAAAGGAGGATGATAACTTTAAGTGTATCTTTCATATTTAACTTCATAGTAACTATCTATAAACTAACATAGACCTTCCATTTCTCAATAACTCTTGACTGATAAATTATCTCAATACTTTGATTGAGTGAGCTGCTTCTGAAATATTCCCCCCTTTGGAAATATTTTGGCAGAGCAAGAAGACACAAAATAGTAATTATTGCTATATTATTCACAATTGTTAAAAGAAATGATCTAATAGTTTTTTAAAAGACCATTTCTATCAGAGACATTCCCAGTGAAGGATCACCCTCATGTCAGGGGTTCCAAGCCTGAGGTTTCTGTTTCTGGAGATCCATGAAGACAGGAGCAAGGCTGCAAACTATTTTCAGAATGGTCTAACAGTTTCATATATCCATAATTATTAAGCACCACTGAGTTTATTCCAACTCATAGTGACCTTATGTGCAACAAATGAAACTCTGCCAATCTTGTACTGCCTTTATCATCTCCTCAGTTCTTAAGGTCATTGTTGAAGTCACTGCATCAGTCCATCATCTCATTGTGGGCCTTCTTTTCCTTCTATGACCTACTACATTTCCTTTTTTTTTTTTTTACCATGAAGAAGTTCCTGTCATTTTAATTAGGTTTGCCATGAAAAACAGTACTATCAGCTAACCACTTCACCCTCTATCAGCTTTCATACAAAAACAGGAACCCAAAGGTCTCCACGCCACAACCATCTTCACTCCCATTATGGGGGGAAAAATGTCACTAACTGAACTCAGCCTCCCACACACAGCATGAAACAAGACTAATAAAAAGAAAGACTTTTGCTGTGTTATTATCTTAAGATGAAATAAGGGGTAGGGATAGAAATAAAGGCAGTATGAGGTCTAGGGCTCTCTTAGAGATCACTATCTGTCTGAGGAAAGGCAGAGAGCCCACAATTGACCCAGAAAGGGGGCAATGTCTAAAATGATGGTGGCTGAGATGGGCTGGACTAAAGTTTTCTCAAGCATCCATGGGAGGGTAAAGGCAGCTAACAATCTATCTTCCTTTCTTCTCCAACGCCCCCGGCCCCCAGGTAAAAGGACGGGGTGGGGGTAGGCATTTGTTCCTGAGCTGAGCACAAAATCACAATTCTCCCACAGTGCCATGTGTGATTCCCAGAGCTGTTGGCAGACAGTGAATGGAACAGATTTCCCAGTGCTGTCTGAGTCCTTTGTCCTTTTCTCGGCTCAGGGCTTCTTCTCTCCACCTGTAAGCACCAGGGCCTGCAGGATGTCAGAGAGAGATACAATTCCCTTGACCACATCATTCTCATCCACCACCACAAGTCGATGAACCTCTGCTTCTACAAGTCTATTGATGATAGTCTCCAGAGTCTCATGTAGATGGCACTTCAGGACACCCTCAAAATAGTGTGATTGGTGTTGCAGGGCTTTGGTCACAGACACATCAAGGTTATTGTAGGTCTTCTCTGCTGCCAGATTAATAACATCAGACTTGGAGTAGATGTCCACCACATGCCCTTTCTCGCCCACCACTGGCAGGGCAGAAACTTGGTGCTGTACAAAGATGCCCAGAGCCACATAGACAGGGGTGGTAGTACGGACCATAGCAATGTTGGCATAGGTGCCAATCTGCAGCTCTTCCAGAGATTTAGAAATGAACTCTGGCTTGGGGAACTCGGTGATAAATAATTTGAGGAACTTGAGGATACGCTTGTGGGTGAGGATATACAAGGTGTTGCCTGATTCTGGATCAATAACTGGCAGCCTGTGGATCTTGTTTCGAATTAATGATGAGACAGCATCAAACAAGCTAGTATTGGGAGAAATGCAAACAAGTGGTTTAAAGAAGTCCTGTAGGCACACCTCTCTCCAAGTTTCTATCTTATGTTCTTCAAGTTCATAGATCTGTACCAAGGCCGATTTATAGTAGCGACACAGGATATTGATGAAGTCCGTGATGGTAAGCATACCCACAAAACTTTGCTTATTACTGTCCCACAAATGGGCAGCTCATACACCATTAGTCACCACGGCAAAGAAAGCTTTCTTCACCTGCAGGGAAGTATCAAATACAACTAATTTGGAACTTGTGGGAATCAGGTCATAGCAGCAATGAGACTTGATGAAGGAAGTATACACGCCCTTGTTGGATTCTGGGGTCTCTTGAGGATGTTCACTTTCCAAAGCTAGGGAGCTATCAGAAGAAGTGACCATCTCCATTGCAAAGAGGAACCAGCTTGGCCCGCTCGTTTTTAGGAAGCTGGCTGGGTAGGTCCCGCCCCACACTGCGACCCACTACATTTCTAACCATGAAGTTCTTCTCCAGGACTGGGCCCTTATGCTTATGATAACATGCACACAGCAACATTCAAGCCACCAAAGGAAGAGAAACTGGTAGACAGGTGGTAGAATATGAATCTTATTAAAATAATAATAATAAGAAGAATAAAATCAGGCTCTTGTTTTTAGTTGGTGTGTGCCGATGCAAATTAAACATTAACCTAATTACTAAACTCTAATTCATCATTTCCATATGAAAAAGGGACGTGAAAGAAGCAAATCTAATTTAACCTAGCATCAAATACACATTTTTTAAAAAATAGTAGAGAAATAAAACATCTTTGTGAAGACTATAACCTAAAAAAAAAGCTTCTCAAAAATGTTGGGTTAAAAAAGATAAAAAATGGTATTTTTAGCTTCTATTTTTATTATTGTTGTTGGTGGTGTGTACCGTTGAGTTGGAATCAACCCACAGCTGCCCCTCCAGTGGCTTCTCAGAGGCAGTAGATCGCATGGAGGGAGATTGCTTGTCTTTCTCCCGTGGAGCTGCTGGTGAAGTAATACTGAGTAGCGTGGTGCTGGCAGCACAATTCTTTACCACTAAGCCATCAGAGTTTCTAGTGATCATTACAACTATATGAAAAATTGAAGTACTGTCAGCATGAAGGAATTACGTGTTATCTTCTTTCAAAAATGTCTTTTTCTTTTTAGTTATCAATGTATCTTTTCAATGAGAAAATAAAAGGAGAAAATGCTTAGAGGAGTGAGAAATAATGAAGTAAATATGAAGTCTGTGAGATCAGTAGCACTGTCTGTAGTGACCTTGCAGTTACTTCTGTTGGCCTGTCAACTAGCTTGCCATCTCCTTTCTTAACTTCTTTCTAGAAGCCCACTTCTGAGGGCCTTCACTCGGCTGGTTCCAACCTGAACTGAGTCCCATTAACAAGCACTCTTTCAGGCAAGAACTTGTTTACAAGCTTTGGCCACCAAAAATCCCCTTACCACCCAGTCTTCTACCTTATTTGAATAGTACCAGCTAGCAAAAAAAATAAAAATAAAAAAATAAATCTGTATTTATTAAATAGTAATTCTGTTTCATACCTATTCATTAAAGACAAGCTCAATTGTTATTCAAAGCATCCGAACAGTGCGAAAGTTAGCTCTTCTAGATTGGCAGAACCTCAGTTAAGGCCTGGACATGTATAATGCTCGTTATTGTAAGGTTGTTACAAGTCTTACTTAACTTGATGGGCACCTAACAACATGTGCAGAATTCATATCCTTGCTGCAGAGGTCTCTGAGGACATAAAAATAGAGAGGAAAGGCTTCATATTTTCACCAAAACAAAATTTATATTTTCATAAATGGAAAACCTTCCCAAATCCAAGGGAGTGAAGGTCTAGGTAGGATTTTGTGTAGCTGCAGGGGATATGAGTAGGGGAAATGGAGACATTTAGATCCTTTCTCCTGCAGGAAACCAGTCCTAGGAGTGAGGGAGCAGGTGTCCCAAAACACGCGCGCGCGCGCACACACACACACACACACACACACACACACACACACACACACTCTGGGTCTGCAGACTCAGCATACTCACATATAGTTGACTTGAGGCAGGAGTGAGGCTGGTAAGGCTGAGACCACCAGAATTCCCGTTGCTTTCTGTGCACCATGAAGTGAGGCCAAAGAAGAGGGAGGGTCAGAGGAAACAGACACTGAACAACTACAAACAGTACTTCCTAGCATTCTGTTGCCTCCACCCAAGTGGAGCCTTTCTCACTACTTTTCCTACCTCACAAGATCTTTTCACACAGATGTTAGCATGAAAATCTGAGTTCACACATAGCAGAGCACCAGTAAATTACCCATGGTATCTTGCTCCTTCAACATGTCATGTCATCTGTCTCAATGGAACTGCCATAGCATGTTGTGCTCGCGTTTCCCTCCCCGTCAGTCTGCCACTTTCAAAAGTTCTTCAGGAGGAACTCTACTGCCTCTGTGATCTCCAGAGCCACTGTCAGGCCTCATCTTTCCTTGGTACCTGAAACCTCTGTTGACTTGTTCTTCATCCCCCAGGATGTTATCATTAACTCTTACCAGGCTCTTTCCCTAGAAATAATCTATGCCTAATTCAAACCTGTTGTTGTTATGTGCCAT